TGAAATGGTAAGCAAATGTCAGGCAAGTGAAGCGAATAGCTTGAATGATATTGACAAAGGGAAATGCTTCCACCTCTCGCCCTATGAATGGGTAAAGAACTGAAGTGGCTGGCCGACGTGGGCAGGAGTCGCGAGTGCTCCGTTTCCTAATTGTTGTCTCCGTGTTGATTGTTTTCGTTGCTTATTTTTTCTATGTATACCCTATAAGATGGCATGATACTTTAGGCTCTGCCTGCAGTTTAATTAAAATGTAATGTTTAATATGAAACGATTTTTAATTATACGAGATAGTAACATATAATTTATATAACTTTTAACCCACCAATGCTTTGTATGAAATGTTAATCTTTTTTTGGCAAACGTCGAGATCTCGGAAACTATAAGAGCTAAAAAATTAAGATTACGAATGCAGATTCTAAAAGACATCGGGCAAGTTTATTTTAGATTGTTGACACGCCCACTCTAACGCCCACAAGTCGATCGAATCTGTAGCGCCCATACTTTTGAAAAATGTTTTAATATTTTTTTTATTTAGTATTTGTTTTGCCACGCCCCTCTAACGCCATTGGGGCAAACCAAGTCGCTCGCACGCCCACTAAGTGAGTGACGTGTATCTTATAGTCGGGGAAACCGACTAAGCGTTTTTTCTTGGACACGAAGGGAACTTAAAATTCGAACTTATACCGATGTCAACTGGACTCCCTATTTGCATTTCTTTTCTTCTGCGGTGCTGTTCGTCTCTTGAGTCTCACAAAAGACTCAATTAGGCGTTAGACAAAGACGGTGGACAAAGCCATATGCTACTTGGCCCAGAACTTGTCGCTAATTCGCAGACAAAGGGCGAACAAGGGGGACCAGAGGGCTTAATCGATAGCGACGCGAAAATGGGAAAACAAACTGACAATTGTCACGGACTGCCCCGGTCCGTTGTCAAGGTAAGACCGCCCGCACTGTTCATACTCACACACACACGGGGCGTATGCGTAAAGTCTAAACCATACCGCACGGTACTTCACATGGGGCGTATGAGTGATTATGGGTAGAACGGCTAACACGAATACGTTACCGGCAATCGGAGATGGAGGCGCCAGTGTGGCGAGCTGCAGGATCCGCTGCCGATGCTGCTGACACAATTTTCGCCGCTGCAGAGCTGCAGCTGCAGAATGGCCGCACACAGTTGCACCAGATACAGATGCACAGATACAGATGCACGAAGCTGACGCCGAATTTGCGAATTTCGAGCTTGACACGAACACCCGGGGGCTGTTGAACCGCACCGCTCTGAACTCTTTTGGCCAGCTCTGCAGGTTTATGCCGTTTTCGTGCACATCCTTTCCTTTTCTTACAGTTTCCTATCCAGTTGCATTTTTTGCAGATGCTGCTGTAGCTCGCGTTGCCAAAAGTAAAAAGAGGCGGCCGGCACCGCGGTCGGTGGTCAACGGTCAATGGTCACAAAACAGGTTCAAAAGTCGGCGACCGCAGGCGCAGGTCCTGTGTGTGTGTGTGTGTGCCGTACAACTTTCCCAAAAGTATGCAAAGATATTTAGCCTAGTTTCGACTCTCCAACAGCATCGTTGTGGATTTTTTGCTGCACTTTCTTGGCATTTTCCTTCAATTCATTTTGCTCTCAAAATAATTTTAAACATTTATTTATGGAAGATCATTTCACTAGCTTTTAACACTGTTTTTGTTTTTTTTTATTGTTGACTGAAGCACAACTCACACATCAACAAATGCATATATTTGTGTATATGTGTATCTGTGTATGTTTTGCTGTGTAGTAAAAATAGTAAAACGCTCGGCACTTAAAATAGGAGAAGCGCAGCGAAAAAACCGTTTGCCGCTGTTCTCTTCTATTGTTGTTGTTATTGTTATGGTTGATTCTTTCGTTGTTGTTGTTGTTGTATTTACCGCTGCTGCGTGTGGAAATCACGGAGAAAACGTTACACGCTCATACGCCGGATAATGAAAGACTAACCTGCGAGCCAGTAACCGACTGCCACATTGGCCGACTGCCTCTTTAAAAGTGCCGAATGTCGCGACACGAAGGGCACCCGAAATGCACACGAAGAGTGACGTGGGCGGTGGCGGGGGCGGGGGCTTAAAGTGGGAGAGATAAGGAAGAAAGTGCACAGAAAGGATAAGGAACAGATAACAACTGCGCCGCTCTCACTCGCTGTCGCTCTCCGATGTTCCCCAAGTTCCTCTCGTTGCAGTGGCGCATTTCGCATGGGGGTTAAGGTTTGTCGGGAAGGGTGGTGTGGAGGTATGCGGGTTAGTATGGCCGATACCCACACCCTTTCCTCCGACACCCGCAGTCGTAGACAAGCAAGCGCGTAAGTTTTTGACGCCCCTGTTAAATAGGTTGGTAAAAGTTGCTGCCGAGTTTACCTGTACTCTTGCTTGGAAAACAGTCTATTAACAAGAAGCGCCGTTACGGAAACTGCTTACTCTCAGATCGAAAATGGCGTGCAAAGTCAGAGGGGAATATTTATATAAATTTTCAACATCCAGTTAAAGGTTCATGTGGCGCCATCTTTTATTTCTGGTAAAAAAAAAAAAATCACAAAGCTTTGTGATGTTTTTTAATTTCGTAATCCTAACCAATTATAATATTATCATATTAATCGTTATCATATTATCGTTATTTGAGTAGTATATCATCAATTCTAACTAAATTGGCTAAAAATGTTATGACCGCATTGAAGTCAACTTTTCAAAATAACTTAATTGTTAGGTGTTTTACCGGATAAATGGCTTTCCCCTGTATAATTATAACCGTTACTCATAGAGTAAAAGGGTATACTAGATTCGATTAAAAGTATGTAACAGGTAGAAGGAAACGTTTCCACCATATATATTCTTGATCATGATCAATAGCCGAGTCGATCTGGTCATGTCCGTCTGCCCGTCCATGTGTTCCATGTGTTGTCATTATTTTGTTTTATTATTGGCTTTGACAATTTATATCGGTATTCCAAAAACACTTTGGTCAAAACTGTCACGCCCTCACTTTTGAAACATTTATTAATTTGTTCATTTTATTACTGTTTTTCCCAATTTCCATCGAAATTACAGAAAATTTTTGAAATTTCTCGTTCTCACTTCCATTAGCTGAGCAACGGGTATCTCCTAGGTGGGGAACTCGTCTATAGCGTTCTCTCTTGATTTCATTAAGTTTATTACGGTATTTTTGTTAGCCTCTTTATTCAGCATCATGCCTACAAAATGTATTAGGAAACCTATTCTGACAAAATTATTTTAAGTACCTCTACCTCTATTATGACAATTTTAATTCTCTTAATTTAACGCTTAGTTTAAAGTAATCTTGTTTTAAGCTTAGCGCTATAAAAAAAATAACAAATTTAGTCAAGCCAATTAAGCAATAAACAATATTTTACAGTACTGCTGTGTAAGTATTCCATAATGTAATATGTCTGTCTAAATAAACATAGGGCATCGCAGTGCCTTCGAAGGTGGAATTTCTTACGAATGTTCCTTCGACTATGGCGAATGCGTTTGAATTTGGGGGCCTAGGTGGCTCGGCGGTTCGGCGGCTGACGGGCCCAGAACTGCGAACTGAATGGCGAACTGTGCGAGGCGTCGTAAAAATAAATAAGCAAAACGGAAATTAATAAGACCCAAATGTTGCCGCTGTCGCAGCGACCTTCCCATGTTGCCCCTGGGAGACCTGCCGCGACAATAGCTTTAGCCTTATTGCCATCAAGACGCAGCAATGGAAACAACACCAGCGAAATCAGCAGAAGTAGCGAAAGAGAAGCAAACGCTGCACGCCATTACTGTAAGTACAGTCGGGAGCACAGACACATGTGCGCCATTGTGTGTGTTCGCAACCTTTTCCTGCCTTTGTATTTGGAGTCCATTTTTTTCGTACGCTTTTCTATTTGATTTCGTTACGGATCCAAACTCATACTGCAGGGGTGAACACAGGGCGTATGAGCAATATATTTATGTTTATAGCCTCGTTTCCAGTTCGCGTGTAGGCATAAAACTGTCGCGATTTTTCGTTCGAGTGTGTATGATTATTTGGCACAATAACTCAATTCAATGCATGAATAATGGCAATCATAAAATCATCGGATATTTACGAAAAAAAAATTGCACTTTACAAATTTAAGAACCTCTTGTTAACTATTTTTCTGTGTATTTGCAATCAACTTAAATCTTTTTTTTTACCTCAATCCCACATGTTTTTGCAAGTAAAACATCTCGATCTGTTTTTTAAGTTTTATTTATGTAGTTTTTTATTTTAATCATTGTTTAAATCTACAAATACATTTACAGCGGAGGGCGAAAGAACAAAAAATTAAAAATGTTTTCTCATTGTTTTGTTGTTACATGCAAGATTTTACTTCTGCGTGTTGTTGACAAATTTGTTGTGGTTTTTGTTTTGTTTCAAGTTCTTGCTTTTACCATCGAACGTTTATATAATTCTGCATTTGTTTATAAATATTTGTAGTCCATATTATGAGTTATTTATATTTTGTTTTGTCCTCGTTTGGTTTTTGCTTTGCTTCGTTTAAGTTTAGTATCATATCTCTTTCACATCAGCATCCATCGATCAATATTATTAATTACTCAATATAATTTGTTAACAACTAATAATAATAATTTTGTTTAGTTTTCATTTTCTTTCATAACTAACATGCCATAATTATCGTTATCCCCAATGCTAATGATCATCATCACTAAGTTAGAAAACAAGACAATTGGTAAAACGAAAACAGCAGCGAAGTAAACTCGAATGTCTGGGCGTATCTCTCAGCGTGGGTGTGATCTAATCGGTCTAGCCGAGCTTATTGAACATCCTATAATCGCTATCTGATCCATTTTTCAAAATTCACAACTTGAATTTCTCAATTAGCCAGGCTGAGCCGATTTTTCAGACCCACTCATTTGATAACGACAATGCCAAGCTTTTTAATTCGTCGAACTTCAATGTAATGACCAACAATTTGACCGCTCAACCGTTCATGTTGTTTTTTTTTTTTTGTTTTTGTATTGGGGGCGTGTGTGAGCAGGGAAAGCGATAAAAAACAATAAAAGAAAAGGTAAACAGAATACTGCCTTGGGCTTGCCCCATTTTGGGGCGCTGTGCCGTGTAAAACTTACAAACATTTATTTTGTGGGCGCTTTTTCTTTTTGTTTTGTATTGAATTTAGTTTTTTGTTTTATTTCGTTTTATCTTTTCCTTCTGGGCCTAGGTATCGGTAATGGTATCTGTATCTGAATCTCGATATCGACATCGGGGGACTTAACCCCACCGAATCTCGGCATCGATTCTTTTGGGCTTAAATGCACACAAAGCATAATATTGCATGTCAATTGTTTTAAGGGGTTTATTATTAAACATTTAGTTGTTTTTTCTTTAGATTTTAACAAATTCTAGACCGGCAGTGCTCCAAACATCGCTCGGAGACCTTTTTCCCGACCTCAGCGTAGTGCCAAGTACGGTCGGTCGATTTCGTTATGGTTTCAATTTTGGTTTTTGGTGTATTGTATAGCTCCATTTATATAATCAAATTTTTCCATATAATATATGTGTGTATATATATAAACAATTATATTCGTCGTGTTCACATTTCTTGTGGTTTTTCTTCTGTTTATATATATATTTCGTTCTTCTGCGCTAAGCTGCGTTTACACACACAAGTTTCCAGTTTTGCAAATTAATTTCTGTTCTTTTGTTTTGGTTGTTGTTGTTGTGGTTTTTATTGGGCTTTACTTTTCACGGCTTACTTGGTAACTACGCTAGGGGTTTTCATTGTTTTCTTTCCTCATTTACTTTTTTATTTACTTCGTTTTATAATTTCTCTAAACTTCTTATATACTTTGTCTCGTCATGCGTTGTGTATCGGTGTGTGTGTGTGTGTTTGTGAGTGCGTGTGTATGTGTGTGTTAGCTTTTTGGAATCTTGTTATTGTTACGATAAAAATCGCTTCATCCAGTTCTCGTTACGTTAATAATTTTACTAAAAACATGTTGTTACTGTTTTGCTTAGTTACTGGTTGATTTTGTTGTTGTTGTTCTTGTCTGGTTGTGATTGGTGTTTCATCGAAATTGTTGTTCGTTTTTGTTGTTTGTTTTATTTTCATTTATACTTTATTTAAATCTTATTTTTAGCTTTAATTTATAATTTAAATTTACTTAACGTTTAAAATAATTATCGCTTGCATTTTTGTTTATCCTCGTTTACTTTAAATAATTAAATTAAAAAAATAAAATATATTGTAATATGTTCTTGCTGTAGCTTGTTGTAGCCGTAGCTGTTGCTGTTGTTGTTGCCGTTGCTGCTGCTGTTGCTATTACTGTGGTTGTGTTGCTTTTGTGGGTTTCGTGGGTTTTGTGGTTCATAAACATTCCTATTTGTTGCTCTCCATGGTTTGTAGGTGTTGTTTGTGGGTGTTCCTGGTTGCTCTTGTTGTGGTGTGTTTTCGTGTGTGGGCATGTGGCTGTGTGTGTGGGAGTGTAGCAGTGTGGGTGTTTAATAGTAGGTCTCCTGCTCCAACCAGCCTCCGGGGTTGCGACGCAAGTAGAAGCGACGGGTCTCGTCATAGATGAAGATGGCCAGCGCAAATGGAATAGCCGGGAACCACCAGACGAGTCTACAGTTCGGGTATGGAACGTTAATTATAGAAAACGAACACTGGGGATTTTAAAGGACCACTCACTTCAGGGGGTACATGCGCAGACCCTTCTCCATGCCCGGGCAGTACGAGAGGAACGCGGCCAGCACGGTTTCAAAGACGAGGCCAAAGTTCAAAGCCCAGTTGCGCATGCCCTGCTGGAAGATCGAGTTACGTCGCGTCTTGCAGATGATCAGATCGGCCCATTGCACAACCACGATCGAGATGAAGAAGGCCGTGTGGCAGGTGTACTCCAAGGTCTTGCGGTCGCGGTAGGTCTATAGGTAGGTAGGGGTATAGGAAAAAAAATGTGTTATTTCTTATCCCACTTAATGTTAGATGTGGCTAAAAGTTTTTAACTCATCCTTGGCTGGTATAATAATCTTTTAAGTATGAGTTCAGAGTTAAAGTAAAGTAAATTAAAGAGCCAAATAGAGATTCGACTTACCCATTCTTGACCGTAGGAGTCAGTAAGATCGTTGACAGCCTTTGAGTCCCACATCTTACGAATGCCGAACAGTTTCTTGGGCAAGAAGCCGTTCTCAGCCATGATGACGAAGTATACAAAGAAGCCGGCGGCGGCCTGGATCATGCCGATCTGTCCGTAGGCCATCGAAATCAACCTGGGTTAGTTAAATGGGCGGGACCAAGTTGGAAGTTGGGAGAAATAAGCAGATCTCGTTAGACAACTCTCAAAGGCAGGCTACATTTTTCTTTTGTGTGGGGTTTGGTTTTGTTTTTCAGGACGCAAGACACTTCTCGTTACAGTTTGGCTAGCGGTAAAGTTTCGGGCATCGGACTGAAGAAAACAGGAACATGCGCGGCTTGGCCAGGATTTTTGTTTGTCGTAGAACATTGAAGACGGTAAGATAGGTCGTTCGGGGTACTTTTGATCAACAAATGCTTGAACTTAAGCGGTAAACAGTAGCACACAGAAAGATAGAACGAAAGGATAAAGCGCACAACAAACAGAAAACACTTAGGGAGGATATTAAACAAAAACCCTGCCCAAGGACTGCTAATGTCCGTTCAGTCCTCGATCCGAGTACCAATTTGTACTCGGGGTTAGTCGGTTAGATTGGTGTTAGTGCCACTTTACCTTGAAGCTCTTTTATGGATTGTTTAAGCAAATGTATGTTTATCGTTTAGATTAAGTGGTTTTAAGACTTTACTCTATGTAGCGTGGAAAGTGTCAAGGCAAATCTCGTTTTAATTTCAAGAGCGCGTAAAAGCAAATCGTACAGTCTACACTCGATAGAAAGCGTGATGGCGCAGAATTGTTTGAATTTCATTGCATTGTTTGGCTTTCTTACACTTTGCATTGGATGTGGATGTGAAAAGCAAAGTTATTGTTAGTGCTAATTGATCATGCGGTCTAAATACAGGACATACATTTCAGAACTTGCAGGACATTTAAGCGTGCCACTATGACTACGACAGGCGAGTGCAGCTCTACAACCTTTGGTTTACTTACGTTTAAGGAAGATTTGATCGAAATCACATAAAACATAAAACGAAAGCTCAATCATAAAACTTACACGTAAACACAAACTTAAGAGTAATTAACACGTAAGAGTATTGCACACAAAAAAAATCATAACAAATTATTATCCGTTGCCATTGTGGTTAGATTCTCAAGTATTACCTACTTTTTCCAGAACACCCTCCCTCACATTCAGACTTACCGCGACTTGGAAACTTGGAACCCGATTTCGAAACGAGTCTAGGTACAGATTTGGTATATAAGGATCATATGGTGTATCTAGAACACAACTGAAGCGATTTTCGTTTTGTAGTTGGTTCGAACAAAACTCATCTACAAGTAACGTACTAACTGGTCTAAGAGTAACGGCAGAAGCTTCGTTTTAGTGTTTTTTTGTGTTTTTAATTGTTTGGTTCAGTCTTTTGCTTGTCTAAGAGCTTGTGGAAATATATCCACCTTATATTTCATTGCTTGTTGTATGGGTCGTGTACTTTGTTTTGTTTATTGTTTATGCAGGTGAGCGTTTGAGCGAGCGAGCGTTTTTCTTTGAACTAACTTCGCCAAATTCTCTAGAAGCAGCTGTTGGGCTTTATTCTTAGTGGCACTACAGATTGCAAAACACACTTTCAGATTCAATACGAGTCATGTTCCTCAATAGTTTAAACATACACAATAAGTGTGTGTAAGGATCGAAGTTTGTTGTGCGAGTAATACACCACAACTGTAACACTTAGAGTTAGGGATTTAAGTGAGGGATACATTAAGGGATTATTCCATATGAAATTAAGTAAAATAGGTTCAAATAAAATCTTTTATGGTGGGAAAATTTTAGAAATTTTGTTGCTTTTAGAATATTTGAAAGATATTTTCATTCCACATTGAGAGATTCAGAAAGCAAATTATAAGTAGGTCACATAGAAATTGGAACAAAAGAGAACTATGTAGAACACAAAACTGTGGAAGAAATGTTTTTTTTTCGACGTTCAAAACTGTGGAATTGAAATTTAAACATGGAAACGCATAAACGCATCAGCAAACGAACAAACAGTCGCAAAAGTTTCTGAGTGAAATTTTGAATATAGCATTCGATTGATTGCATTTTAAGACTGATTAATGATCGGTTGATCTACTTGTTTGGTCAAATTACGATGCAAGAAACGCGACCACAGTACATCAAACAAAGTTCAAAGTTGGTAACGTAAAAAATGCTTGCATGTTTGTTCATTTTCTATTTCATAACTAATCAACTAAAAGACGGTTAACACTTGGATATTGGAATTTTGTTTTTGGTTTTTTTTTGTATAAGACCTTAGCGTTAAGTTTTCCTGACCTGCGGTTCACCAAGTTGTCGCGATACGGATCTCTCGGCTGACGCTTCATAATATCGCTCTCGGCTTGCTCGTAAGCGAGTGAAATGGCCGGAATCTTGCGGTATATGGCAATTAATGGTTATTGATTGTTCGGTTATCGGTATTTGTGCAAGTTGCAATTGTTAGTTGGTTGTTTGATAATCAAAAGAAAGACATAACAAGAGTCGAAAGAATGTAGGGAAATACAAAGGAAAATCTGGTTAAAGTTTACAAATATCTATAAAATATTTGTATAAAAGATTTATATAAGTATGCTTGCGGGCGAGTAATAAATACTTGTTCTTTATACGCTAATTAATAATCGCTAAAAGATCGTAATAGATAGGTAGAAATCTGAGGGTAGGGCGGGAGTCTGTGTCAAGTAGTACCATCATGGGGCATTTGTTGTTGCATTTTTTGGTGTTTTTTTTCTTAGCTCCCGCGTACTTACGAAGCTAAAACTAGTCTAGGGCAAAGAGCATAGAGCACCCAGTAATAGTAAAATCGATATATAGTAAATAGTAGGTAATAGTAAATGCACAGATATGGGGTGTACAAAAATGGATTAGAGCTTAAATTGCGCTAAATCATTATATAGGTACCATTATTACTAGAGGACAATTTTAGCCTGGTTTTCAGATTGAGTTCGGAAGAGATTTGTGTGAGTGTCGGTCAACTACAACTCAAAAGAAGTGTCAAAACGTGTCAATGAATGACTGAGAGTTGGTAGAGAAAAATACAGAGCAAACTCTTGTCTGATTGATTGATAGAAAATGCTGAATGATTCGAATTGACCTTAGTAATAGGAGATTCATGAATGAATTGATGTCGAGACCGAAGATTCCTCTACCGTAACATGAATGTAGCATCAGTAGAAACGTATATATGTTATAGAATATACAGACTCACTAAATTAACAATAGGCCTGCTCTAGCATAGTGCCAAGAACTAAGATGGAAAAGATTTGTATTGACATGGTAACAAATTATCGTTAATTCTACGAAAACGTAGCTCAGATTTGAGCTAGAGCCTCAATCTTCAGGAATCAAGATGATCTCCACTTACCTTAGCACCACAAATAAAAGGATCTTCATTTCAAAAAGAAAAACAAATATCTGTAGAGCTTCTACAGTAGAACATAAATCTAAAATAATTAAACCAAGTTATCAAGGAGTACAAACGAAAGATATACGACTGTTTCCAAAACCGGAAAATAGAACTTCAGACATCTTTGGAAAGATGCTTAAGCCCAAAAATGGAAATTCATATATATTGTAGATATAGAGAGAAAGTGATAGAGAGATCGAAAGTTTACCAAAGTTAAGCAGAAAAGTGAAAGGCAAACTAACTGACTTCATGGCTATAAGGAAAAGATTTACATATACTCCTAATCCAATAAACAGTTTCTAAATTTTTCGAGTGCAAAAATATTTGAGAAAATGGTATCCGAAAAAGTTGTTCTTTCTTGTGTCTTCTTAAGTTAAAACTTAAAATTCTTTTGGGTTATATAATTAATAGTAGCTATGTTTGTATATGTAGTTATGATTACAATTACATTTATCAGCGTTAAGTAATTGGATATATTGAAATATTGCTAAAAACAAATCAAAAATCGTACGAAATGCCATACATAAGTAAGAAGTAAAATACAAAAGGAAAATATACTATCAGTATTCTGTAAAGATCTTTCTGAAAATTATTAAAAATGTTATTCGTTAGACCTTCAGTGTCGGATTAAAGTGTGTTCAGGAACAGCTTATACAAAAAACTTTGCGAATTCACTAAGAACACACTTTTATTCACTTAGTATTATAGTTATACGAGTATATGTAAAATCAAAATTACTAATCGATTTGAACTTTACTTTATTCTATCTGAATGGTAATATCAAAGACTAGAAGAATCTTGAGAATATTCAACTAAATAAGAGAACAGTGAACAGAATTCAAAGAAAAGCTACCAAATGAAACATTTAACATAAAACATGGAAAACATTGGTGGAGTTAATCCAAATAATCAACATTCAACCAAGGAGTACTTAAGCTATTTTAAAATATTTTTGTTAGTATATAGAAAGACAGAGATATAGCGGATAATATAGGTTAAAAATAGAGTAAAATGATTTTATTGTCTTCGACTTGTAGGATAGAAAGAAAGCGTACTGATTTTAGCTTGCTTTAATGACTTTGGCCGACCAAAGTACAAATTCAGTTCAATGGTATTCAATTTGCTTTTCATTGCGTGACAAAAAGAAATTATTTGGTGGTTCATAGAGTAGCAGAAGATGCAAAATCTTTATTTGCGTTCGGATATGTGTCTTTTACGTTAAGATAGAAATTCGGTTCTTGCTGTTGTTTGGTTGGTTGATTGAAAGTTGTTTGTTGGTTGTTCTGGTAAATGTTGTAATTGATTCGATATCAGCACGGAGCGAAACTTTACCTTTCGTTGACCAGTTTATCTTGGAAGGGGTTCCTCGGCTGGCGTTTCATAATATCGGATTCAGCCGTCTCATAAGCTAAGGAAATGGCTGGCACCTAAACGTGCGAACGATCGTTTGTGGTGGTGGATTATCAGTTGGTAGTTGGTTGAAGTGGAAAAAATAAATGAAATTAAATACGATAAATTATGGAAACATAAACTCTTCTCCTTGAACTCTGCAAAACCCTGAAAAATCCGCTGTGCTGGGGGGCGACGCTGGTTCATAAGGGGATATATCTTAGAGACTAGATTGCATAACTTAAACCTTCCTCTTAAATCAAACTTAGGCTGCAGAGACTTATTGGGCACAATGCTTGATGTGTGGAGTGACGAACAGAGTTAAACATAAGCTAATTTAAGTTCTCGAGTCAAATTATGAAATAAAAACCAATATTTTCGGTTGGGTTAGTTGATAAAAATCGTGTGCAAATGCTAATTTTGATATTGAAATTTTGCCAAATTGTACAAACTTAAAATCCATTACAAATGCCAATCAATTTGTCCAATTCAAATAACGTCGAGGGGTGAATCTTACGGTTAACTCAGTGTTAGTTACACCACAAAACGAAAATCGTGAGCGATATGTATCTGAATTATATATTTGTGAGAGAATAACAATATACGACGCACACATATTAACATTAAGAGCATTAGAGTATGGCAGATGAATTCGATATTCGATATTCAATGTCGGGATGATTGAATTGTACATGTATATATAACTCTCTGGGAGGAACTCAATAAAGGTGGAAATGGACTTGTACTTGAAATGTACAGAGCAGATGCTTTTATGTATAGATGGTATATGCATGACGAGGGATCTGCCACCGAATGGACATATGCTACATGGATGAGATCTGAGAGGAAAGCTGGTGTGGTGGGCATGTACGAGTGATAACATTCTTAATAGTTAGTTGGGTAGTTAAGCCATAAACGTGTCAACGGCATTGTTAGATGGTTACGCTGCCTTCGTTCAGGCCAACTTATTTTATTACAATCCAGCCACATACACATAAGACATATGCTATAGTTATATGGTTTTTCTCTTGATTTGCGCTTTTCTTTACTTCAGTCTTGATTTATCCTTTTAAAGGTTGAGGTTAGTGAGTTGGTGAGTGTGTATATATATGTGTGTGTGTGTGTGTGTGATGTGTGTGGTTGTATTAGTGTGGGGTATAAATTGACTTGATTGGCACCTTGAGTTCACTAATTTATCGTTGAAGGGGTCACGTGGCGGACGCTTCATAATATCGGCTTCGGCATGTTCGTAGGCCAATGAAATGGCTGGCACCTAGGTATTGGATTATGGCAGGTAGTTACATTAGCAACGGTTTACAATCCATAAATTCAATTCAGTTCGATTTTGGCCTAGATCTGGGGGTAGCTAGAGTTCGGTACGTGATTAAGAGCACTTAAACTACTCGATGGCCTAGCACTGCGTTGTTTTCTAGCTGGAGCTGCTGGATCTATGTCGGAGCAGAGGCTAGCGCTTTTACCTCTCGTTGACCAGGTTATCGATCTCCGGATTGCGCGGCCGGCGCTTCATGATGTCAGCCTCGGGTCCCTCGTAGGCCAGCGATATGGCAGGAATCTGATCGTCAGTGCAGTCAGCCGCACAATTTACGTTCAGAGTGGGTGTTAAAAATGCTAGTTCTTAACTATTAACTGAGAAGGGCTACAACTTTTATATATAACTTGCTCGAATGATACTGACTTAAAAGCAACTTTAGCTTTAATCTTCGATGGGGCTTGGGTTCGGGGCGGAGGTCTAAACTTACCATGTCAGTGCCCAGATCGATGCACAGAATCGTCACGGTTCCCAGTGGCAGTGGTATGTCGCAGAGGATGAAGGCCAGGAAGGGCGAGATTTCGGGAATGTTGGAGGTCAGGGTGTAGGCGATGGACTTCTTCAGGTTATCGAAAATCAGGCGACCTTCCTCTACACCAGTCACAATGGAGGCAAAGTTGTCGTCCAGCAGAATCATGTCAGCAGCCTACACAGGATCATGTGGATAATTAATTTAGGCATTTTTAAAAACAGGCAAAGAACATCAAATCCATATTGCACCATCTCTCACTTACTACAGTAGTGTCATAAACCAAAAACATTAGTTCATGCAGAATGGAAAATTGTATTGGATTTTCCCCAATTAAAAACATTAAACGCCTTTTCAACAAAATCCTTTAAATGTTAATATGAAATGGTTAATGTGTGAATAAGAAAAATATCACGCTCATATGCAAATTCATTCTTCATTATTCATTCTTCATTCAACTTCCTAATTGATGGCCAATTTTGGTGATATTTTTACTTCGTCAAATTTTTATCACTATAAAATAATTTCCTACCTGCTTGGAAACATCGGAACCGGCGATACCCATGGCAACACCGATATCAGCCTTCTTCAGAGCGGGAGAATCGTTGACACCATCACCAGTCACGGCCACAATAGCTCCCATGCGCTGGCAACCCTCGACAATGATCAGTTTCTGCTGGGGCGAGGTACGGGCGAAGACGATCTCGGTGTGGTAGCGGAGGATCTCATCCAGCTGGTCGCTGGACACATCACGGAGCTCAGCGCCGTGGACGACGGCTGCCTTGGCCTCACGGGGATTCACTTCAGAGATGGGGATGTTCAGGCGCTGGGCAATGTCCTCGACGGTCTCGTTGCCCTCGGATATAATACCGACAGACTTGGCGATGGCCTTGGCAGTGATCGGGTGATCGCCGGTGACCATGATGACCTTGATACCGGCCGAGCGGCACTTGGCAACGGCATCGGGCACGGCAGCACGTGGGGGATCAATCATGGACATAAGGCCGACGAAACGCAGATTATCGATGGGGAAGTTGATGTCGTCGGTGTTGAACTTAAAGCCGTTGGGATACTTGTCGGATGGCAGCATAAAGTCACAGAAACCAAGCACGCGCTCACCCAGTCCACCGAGTTCCATGTAGGCATTGTTGAACGCCTCCTTCATCTCCTCGTCCAGAACCTTCTCCTTGCCGTTGATGAAAATGGTAGAGCAGCGCTCCAAGATACGCTCGGGAGCTCCCTTCATTACGAGCAAGTAGCGCGGATCGTTTGAGTCCTCGGTTTCGTGAATGGACACTTGGTATTTGTTTGTGGAGTTGAAGGGCACCTCGGCAGTCTTCTTATTACGCTTGCGAATGTTCATCACATCGCCCAGAGCCAGTTCCATGCACTTGAGCAGAGCAGCCTCGGAGGCATCTCCACTGACTTCTTTCTTGAGGATGGGGACACCATCTTGGCCTCCCTTGAACTCGGCACGGTTACAGAGAGTGGCAATGCGAGAGAGCGCCTTGAATCCAGGGCTGGTTCTATCGTATTGAACACCCGACTGATCCTCAGTTGTGTCGGCCTCGATGATCTGATTATCGAACCACATGTGAGCGACCGTCATTCGGTTCTGGGTGAGGGTGCCGGTCTTATCGGAGCAGATGGTCGATGTGGAGCCTAGGGTCTCCACGGCCTCCAAATTCTTCACCAGACAGTTCTTGGAGGCCATACGCTTGGCGGTAAGGGTCAGGCACACAGTGACGGTGGCCAGTAGACCCTCGGGCACGTTGGCGACGATGATTCCGATCAAAAAGATGACAGCGTCCAGCCAGTGGTAGCCCAGAATGAAGGCAATCACGAAGAAGGTGACGCCCAGGAACACGGCCACGCCGGTAATAAGGTGGATGAAATGGTGAATCTCCTTGGCAATGGGCGTCTCGCCGGTGTCTAGACCGGAGGCGAGACCAGCAATGCGGCCCATGACGGTGTGATCGCCACAGCTGATGACCACACCCTTGGCAGTGCCCTCGACGGCGTTGGTGGAGAAGAAGGCCAGATTCTTGGTCTCCAGAGGATTCTCATGGGTGAACTCGGCACCGCGGGACTGCGGCTCCGACTCGCCGGTCAACGAGGAGTTGTCCACCTTGAAGTTGCGCGCCTCGATGATGCGGATGTCAGCGGGGATACGGTCGCCGAACTTCACCTCAACGACATCGCCCAGAACGAGATCCTCAGCGCGCAGCGTGAGTTTCTCGCCCTCGCGGATGACGGTGGCGAACTGGGGTACCATGTTCTTGAACGATTCCATGATCTTAGAACTTTTCGATTCCTGCGGAACACACACCACAGTTAGTAAACTGATCTTGAGCTGCTCAGATTCAGGGGCGACCTACCTGATAGTATGAGAAAATGCCCGTCACGATGACGACAGCGGAAAGTACAATACCCAGATACAAATTATCGTCGGCCGGCTCCTCGCTGGTGCTGGCCTGGATAGAATAGGCCACAAAGCAGAGAATAGCACCGATCCACAGCAACATGGCGAAACCACCGAACAGGTTCTTACAGAACTTAACCCATTCGGGCGTCTGCTTGGGTGGCGTCAGCGCATTGGGACCATCGCGCTCCAAGTTTTCCTTGGCCTTGGCGTGACTTAGACCCTGCGGAAGATCAGAGACGTATTAGTGTACATGTCGTTTGGGCAACCATTTACTCAAATGATGCACTTACATTTTCGGGATGTGTCTGAAAGCGCTGATACAATTCCTCAGGAGAGATTTTATGAAAATCGATATCCAACTCCTGTTTGAGATCATCTAAATTCTCCTTTTTATTAACTTTGGCCGGCATCTTGCGTCTTGACTGTTGAATGGAGATGGATAATAATGTTAGTGGCGGAAGGTAATTATGCACTGCAGCGAGAGACCCATTAGCCGACACAAAATTCGATTTACTTCATGCCTTGGTTAAGCCTTTGATGAGGCATAGAGGATTCCGTACTACCAGGGTGATTTGCGATTGGTTAAAGAGAAAGTGAATAGAGAAGAGTTTACCGAAAGCTTGGGACAGAAGAAACCCTAAAAATTGTAGAACACTAACATTTACCCCTAAGAGTTGGGGATCAGATATCAGTTTTACCGGTACCCGTTGTTAACTACTTACCCGACTAATTTACAACTTGTCAAGTGCTGTTCCCAACCTGTGCACGAGGATGTGGTTATAAACTTGGGCGAACCCATTCCGAAATGAGTTCGAGCGTGAGAATATTCAAAATGAGCGCTGATACGTAAAACTCTAGTAATCTAAGGCATGCAAAATGCGCGCTAAATGACGCTTCCGATCGAAATGAGAAGAGCACGTAAATGAATAGAGGTGCACAAAACAAAACATCAAGCAATTATACAAACATTTGTTCCTACACATATGTTACGTATGCAAAACAAAGGAATTAAAAATGAAATACAACAAAAAAATGAATGAAAATTAACTTTCCCTATAGTGCAGCTAAAAATATATTTAGATTTCCTGTGCATTAGCTGACCTCGAAAGCCTTTGAATTAGCCATAAAAAGAAAATAAGAGAATTCTAAATAAAATATAAATGTATTCAAAAGTTTATTATATATAGTCTTAGCAGCTGTCTAGTGTCTGGCATTCTATCTTTAACAGTGTCTATAAGTGTTCTCTTTTTTTAAGACGCACGGGCAATGATTTTTGCTCTCTGACGTCATTGTTGGGGTTGCCATGCAATCAAGGCAAAACGAAGTAAAAAAAAAAAGTGGGCTCCTGTTCATTTAAAAAACTTTTAAAGCCAGTTAAAAACTGCGTGGTATTAGTACCACAAATTCCAGGCAATATTGAATTGAAAAATAAATAATTTTGGAGTGAATGGAGACTCGTAAAAAGACTCCGAGAAAATCAAAAATGGCCTTATTTATGACATTATTATTGGCCATCCTTATACATAGCGAATTATGGCTATTTATAGCCGCTGTAAGCATTTCGCCAGTGATTTCTAAATGTCAACTGCACTCGGTAAATGCCATTGGAAGCATGCCCAAGTCTAACAAATATAATAAATATGTGAAATTATAAACCGGGAAAAGGGAAATCGATTAGTAAAGCGCTTAAAATCGAAAGGGGACTGTGTTAGAAATGAAAAACATAAGTAGAGTGGATGATAGATACGAATGTATGGCAGTGTGCGACTGAGGAAAATTCGATTTACCTTGTACTGGCCATCGGCTGTGCGATTGTCGTCATCGGTGGCTATAACCGTGGCGACTCGATAAGAGTCCGCCCTCCCATGCTACGCACATGAAGGTTTGGGTTTCGAGTTCGGGTTCGGTTTCGGTTTCAGTTTGGGTGGTTCAGTGTTGGTGGGTCGGTTGTTGGGTGGTGTTTGATTGATGATGTCGATGATGGACGAACAAGTAACGTATTCAAACGGGGAAGAGATAAAAATCAAAAATCGAACAAAACTAAAAAGCATAAACAAATGCAAGACGTACACTATGCATGTATGTATATGGCTATTATGTATATTAAATAAGAGCTATTTTCTGCTTCTGGTAAAGTGATGGTACAGTCTGTTACAGTGATAAATTCTGTATAAATACATCACACTTGTTTACTGTAATACTTTGCAGTATTTGTGTTTCATTTCTAATCATTTTTATTTGGTTGTAATTTAAGGCTTGCAATTTAAGGATTTACATATTATTTTTTAATTGGGTTTCTAGAATTTATAATTTTCACTTTACCAGATCTAGCGAGTAGCATGTAAGATAACTAAAGAATAACCAAATATATTATAAATATGTCATTAATAAAAAGAGACACTACAAATCAACTTACTATTATAAACATTAATATGATGGGTCATGATGCATACATTAACTCTAAGGTAAAACTAAAGGCGTTTCAGGGATTGCGGTATTCGTTGGCCTGGCAACACGCGATTTGTTTTGATGATTCAGCGCTAATGGGAAATGGAAAACTGGCCAAGCTGCCAAAGGACAATGAATCATGTGTTATACATAGACTTCCAATAAAAAGGCTCTCCAGCAAGCGGTAGCCAAAATTCGACACGATTTTTGATCGGGCTGCGTTATCTGCAGTGCGTCGTGAGTCACTGTTATTATTATGATAATTATTTAAAAACAAACAAAATAGGCTAGTGAAGAGCGCAGCCGTCAGCGAATCTCAAAAGAACTCAAGAGATATGCAATGCAATATAAACACATAGTCTACTGTTTGTTTGGCCATGCAAAACGAGGGGTTGAAGAAAATCAAATCAAATTAATTAAAAATACGTATGTCTCGAGAGGAAAGTATGTATACACTAATGAATGCGAGGGCGAGGGGAAAGTGAGAACGCAAACCTGTCGCGTTCACATGGCAGCCAACTTGCGGGTATACTGACTATACATATTCGAGAAGCTTACGCTTTGTTTGGCTTTGCTTTTTCGGGCCTGGCGTGTCTTGATTTATTTAATTTCATTATATATATGCTTTTGGTTTCAGGTTTTTCTTTTTTCGGCCTTTTTTTCTGGTTCAATTAAGGCCGCTTTGGCAGCATGAAATAAATCGAATCGAGATAATCGGGTCTAGAGGCCCGCTACTGAAGGGTTTCTCTACTTTTTGGCTTACGCACTGTAGCAAGTATTCAAACGACTATCGATCTGCTTTCGTATCTTTAATCTTGCGTCGCTGGTTTCCCTCGTTCTAAGATTCCCTCTCAAGTGCTAAACAATCTGATAGGAGGATTACAGTTAAGATATGGGTTAAAACTAGGATACAAGTGATACTACTATCTAAAGCTTACATGCTACCTTGCCTAGAAAGTGTTTAACAATTGTTAGCCATGACTTTGTAGGCGGAAAGCGCCCGTTTTCCCACAATGCCGCGAATTCTGATTTTTCTATACACATTAATTCAACTTAATCGGGCTTTTCATGCTTCAATTGATCCGAAACAATGTCAAGAGGCACAGCATGTGAAAACAGGGGTATGGGTTTGGGATTGGGATAGGGTCCAGGATGAAGCTCGAGGCGAGAATAACGTGTATATACATACATAGGTATATAAATCAGAATACGACAATGGCCGGTCAGCCGCAGAGAAGCTTACATAAGCTAGTGAAATGGAATAGCAAACTGAGAAGTGAACACAGAAAACTGCGAGCTGTGAGCTGCCAGCGAGCCAATTAGACGAACAGATACAATTGTATCTGTTGCTCCAGCTAAAATGTGTTCCCCTAAACCGAATAGAACAAAACGGTATGCACACATTTCGCCGCAAACCATTTGGCATTTGAACTTGAATATCAATTTACAACATGACGACTATTTGGAGGGAAAGAGCTGTGTATCGAATTGACGCGCTAATTGTTCAATCAATGCAAAAGTGCAAATACAAAAGTATCTGGGAAATGTGTAAGCCAGAAATCGGGCGAATTGTCGACATATCGCTTTTATTCGAAGGTGCATTAGCCGGCAGGTGAGTGCAAGTTTGGATTTAACCAGTTTCAAACCAGATTGAGGCGGCTCAATCGTTGAGGTGTCTGATTCGGATTGATAGAACACAATGCATTTGACTGGGAAATCGAAACGGTTTTGCTAGGTTTGTTTTCCCCCCCTCATAGTACGCAGAAAAAAAGAAAATAAAAACCAGTTTCTGTGGGCAAGATAACACATTGTGTCAGACATCTCTAGTATCTGAGAAATGCATTTTCACCCGACTTGTTTATTGTTTTTTTATCCGCTGACTGAAACGCCAGATGAGCTGAACTCGCTAATGATCTGAGTTGCCGCAGTGTTTAATTTAAATATTATTAACAATTTCCAGCTAATTGTCTGCTTAATTTTCGCACGTTTTGCTTGCTCTCTTTAAAAACCCCAAACCATCATATTTTTTACCAGGCCAATATACATTCTTATAAGTATCCCTACTTGTTTGGAGGGTAAGGGTAGGTTATGTAACGCTGATTCGTAAAAGCTAACTTAAAAAAATCATGCTCAAAGCGGTCAAGATAAATTACAATTGATGGAAAAATACCTAAATGAATAAAATGTTTCTGAGCTCGTCAGTTTTGATTACCCACCTGACCACTCATTATGCGGATTCTTGTTAAAACTTATTAGAGGCCAGACAGGTAAAACGATCAACAACCAATAATGTAAGGCACGACAACGGTTGGGGTAAATAAAACACGATTAACAAAGTACAAAATAAAAACTTGATACAACTGAAATGATAAAATTAAAAGTTGGAAAAAAGGCAAGATTAATAGAGGGCGAAAACGGTTAAAGCGACTCAAGCTTATGCAACAATCCACAGGGTACGCGGGCGCTGGAAGGACGAGGCGGTGGAGCAGCAAGTGGACCGCTGGAAGGCCACGGAGTCACGGGAAATTGTGTGGAAGTGGACAATGGAAGCGAGTGTGTGTATGGAAATGCAGGCGAGCTGCAGTTTCCAGGATGCCGAATAACGGCACATGGCAAATGGAGAGACCAAGAGAGAAAACGCGAGACAGAATTCCGAAAGTGAGCGAGCTTAACGATAAACAGCGCAATGGGAGCGAGCCGTTGGGGCGCAAGCTCGAAAAGAGCGGCAGGAAAATTTTCCAAGACTTTTTCCTGTGCCCCCCTTTTTTTATGCTGTGTGCGGAATTATGAAATCGCCAGGCGGGGGGTCCAAATCGCTCTATATATGTAGCTGGCTCGCTACATCCACTCATTCGTGTAGGGTGGCCAGGAAATTACTGCTGTTCCAAAATGTAAATCGCGGCAATTGAATCTAAACGATTTCATTGCCACAAAAGTACGTCAGGCGAAAGCGATGCGGAGGAAACGGACAAACGGACGGACTATCGGACGGACATGCGTTTGGCTTGCCATGAACGCCAAACTGAATGCCAAATCAAAAAGGAGGAAAAACATAGTTCAGCATTTTCGTCTCGCTATTGCACACACACAAAATCACTCTAGATCACTCGAACACTGTCAAATGCGTATGAAAAATGCATTTTCTTCATCTCCCATCTCCCTTTTTCCCCCAGGGGTAAAGGAACAAAGGTTAAATGCCTGGTCACACAGTTCTTTTCGATCTCCATTTCTCTCTTCAGATGGTTACAAATGTATATATCCATTACGCCAGGCATGAAGTTTTGGAAAAATCGATTTCGTACAAGGACGTTGTCGTTTTCTCGACGCCCCCAAAGGGGGGTGGTGGGCGGTCGGTGGGCGCTGCAGTTGAGCAGACATGGAAAGTTCTTGTTTGTTCGTTTTTTTCTTTATGCTTTCTTATTTTTTTCTACCTTTTACACGTTTGGGTGCTATTACACAATTTTTGCGCTTGGCGTTGCGTATTGTGTTTTGGGGGCTTTCGCAGAAAACTACCCCGTTAGCAGTATTGAACTTGTTTTCAGCACTAGAACCGATTCGCGTTGGAACGAGACAAATACAACAAATACTGATCACACACGACTGCTGTTCGCTAACGTAATATCCTTTTATTCTTATGTCGAACGAGAGTTAGTCCTGGGCTGCTTCTCTTCTCGCTGGAGCTGGACTCAATCGATGCACAGTTATTGTGTAAGCAGAGCAGCGGGCACACACCAGCGCCGAGGGGGCGGGCGGGCGGCGGGGGAGCAGAGCTGTACTGTACCACCCGACAAAGAGACGAGATAGCTGCTGCTGTCACAGTTGGACCTTCCCAGTTCGGATTCGACGTTCGACTGAAACTTTTCGGCGCGCCGCGAGTGGTTAAGCTTTCTCGATTCTCGGATAGAACATTCCGTTCTGCCGACGTCGGCAGAGAGCTTTCGCCAGCAGATGTTACACCGCGGCCCAACGCTCTCCTACACTCGGCGAAAACAGACCCAAGACTGTGCGGGTATACATTGAGGATTGCCACAGACGTCTACAAAGCTTTAGTATGTCTGATTTAACTAATCGTCGACAATGTGTAAAAAAATATTTTGTTACTAATATCAAATCGGATTACAAATATATTAAAAGTTAGGTAAAAGTTCGATTTGAAACATGTCTTCTTATTGCAGGCAGAAAGCGTGCTACTGCAATAGCTGAATAGCGTTCCATCTTTTTTTTTTTTTTTTGAATATCTAACAAGTTATAGTTAATGTAATAATGTTATTATATTTGACCCATATTTTCTATAAAATCATATATTTAGTTTAGTTGTCTTGTCTGGGCCTAAGAGCTTGTAAATTTCTATATGATTCATCATCTCATACATTTCATGTCGCGTCAAAAATTAGTAATGAACTCTAATCAGCATATTTCGAACAGTAGTTACGAGCCTCTCTTTAAAAAAATATTTAATTACGAAACGTGTAGAAAAAAAAGAAATATTTAAATCTCCAAACTGTGGAGCAACTTCACATTTTTGAGAAGTTATTAACAACCGACAATACTTAAGATAAAATATTCATTGAATACGGTGCATAAATAAATTTTCATCACGAATTTCTAAAATGTAGTGCTCACTATATTTTTTGCGAGTGGACCCTCTCGTGCGAAAAGTGCACAGTGGTGGAGAGCTTTCCAGCCGAAAAATCTATGGCAGTGTGACAAGTGAGGCAGGCAAGGGGTTGGCTGCGCAGCTCGGAGCGGCGGAATGTGTGTCAGTTGGAGAGCGATGGCGGCGGAGAATGGGACAGCGGGCAGAAAAATGATGGGTGGCAAGGGCGAAAGAGGGATCCCCAGAGAGAGCGGGAGAGGGTGAGAGAAGGAGCGGAAGCGGGAGAGTGAGCGAATATCTACATAAATTGTATAACGAAAACAAAGCGTTTGATAAAAAGGGCAGGCCAACAACTTTGGCATTTCGGAACAGCCGCCTATTCGAGCCCTTGCATGACGTCACTCCAGCTGTACCCATCCCCCCAAAAGTGTTGACAATTACCCAGACTCGTTTTTAACATTCAGTCAGATGGACAACCCCCGGGGCCAACTAGAAAACCTCCCCCAAAACCGGTGAATCAATGTGGCACGTTACGAAAATCATATTCCCATATTCAATCTACGAATCCGAGGTTACATATGTGAATCCACTTAGCATGCCCCTACCCCTAATATTAAGCTCTTGCTATTCTTACTTAACGCATTCTTAGGCAAAGTGGCGGGGTTGCGGGCGAAATGACACCACGACTGGCTTAGGGCTTAAGGACTCAAGTAATTTCCTTTTCGGACCTTGAGTCTATTTCCAGTCCCTTGTAACTCGAGTTTAATTACACGTAATGTTGCCAACACAGAGACAAACAGCAACTCGCATGGATACGCATACGCACTTGTTCAGTAAGTAATACACTAGAATAATTCTAAGCGGATGCTTAAAAAGTTACAATAGACTTTGAAAATGTTTCACGTATACAAGATGAAATATTAGATAACACCGTCATATAAGTGTTGATATATAAATTTATTCGTATTCCCCAAACATTTAAACCATATGTTAGGGTTTATTAGAAATATTTCTTTGAGCACCGTATGGAAATCGATTAACTTCCCAGCTCATTTTTCTGCGTGCACTAAATCCCACGGAAAATCAATATAAGGCATCGTGCCAGCTAAAGCAGCGGGAAAAGTTTCAGTCTCTGGTTTTCCGGAGCGCAGGGTGGCCGAATGACTCCCCTATCGATCCAATGGGGGCATCCAGATTTCTGGCCAGAATCGTGCACGTTTTATCAACTTATCGAATCGCGTGTGATATACGTACGCTGAAGGAGTGTCCCGGCCAGATGAACTCAAACTCAATTTGTGGGTCATCAACTTGGCTTCATGTTACAGGGAGGTGCAGAGATGGCCCCAAAATAAATAAACAAATGCCGACTTAAGTGACCGTGCTGGCCAGTTGTGTACGCCAAAAGTTCTCCAACTATCGCTGGCGTACAATATCAACTTATGTAATGACACGACAAAAAAAAAAAAAAAACACTTGGCAACCGGAATGGAAGTTGAGATACATATGTAGATAAAGCCCTAAACTTTTCGCGCAGATATTGCCGGGGTCACCCATGGAATTGAGTTATATGTATCCATGTGAGCCGTCCGTGCGCATTTACTTATGTAAAAAGGAGAGCAGCGCCACAACCGCACGTCAATGAGTTCAGCTGACAAATGGTCAACTGACGAGGGTTCCACGTAGGCAAGCCTACGGTCAACCGGTCTGCTTGACGTCTCCAAAATTCGGCCATCGATCAGTCAATCCCCGATATTCTATTCCCCGGAAAAGCTCAATTTGGTCTGTCACCTGCCACGTGTCGGCGCCTACTTTGGGAAACTCTATGCCAGCCACCTGGAAAATCAATATGCAATGTCTGCTGTTAAATGTTGGGCTTACGGAGGGGCTCCTGAACAAAAAGGGTCTATTCCACTGCCAATTATGACTTTTAGACAAAATCAATAGGCGGAGCAGCGCTGATGACTTTACAAATTTGCGTGGTGTCAAAGTCAACTAGCTACTGGCTTTGCTAAGATGCCAATATTGAAAGGGAACTAACTAAGCTTCTGATCCCAAATTAAATACTGGTAAATTCTGCTATTTGCAGCTTAGTTCAGGAAAAAGCAACCAGAAATCAAACAAATATTCCTGCCTTATTTAAAGCTAGTATGATAAAATCTGTTATGTGACATTTGGGGGTCCAAGTTCTGGTTTGTCGGACGACTTTTGAGAGTTCAAGCTCGGAAAGTTCCACTTTAGTTCGTAGAAGTTGCATTCGCACTTTGCATTTGAAAAGGGGAAAAGCGTGCAAGTTGGTTTGGCAGCCTGCAGCGAAAACTTTGGCCAGCTCGCTAATTGCCATTGGCAAGTGCGACCCCTCCGCCGATGCGAGTGGGTGGCGGTCCTCGATTCGGTTGCATAATGGCGTTCATGACCTGGGCCCTGGCAAAACCAAAAAAAAAAACAGACGGCGACAGAAAGTCCGAATCCGAGTGCAGCATAATCACTGCCATCACGAGTGCCCCGATATGAGAGCGAATGAGCCATAAAGCCGTTGTACTTGAGCACTGATTAAAATGTGCCACCCCCATGACCACCGGGAGGTCTTTTCTCGCCATGAATGGCAGACGGACTACAATGGTCATGTCTGGTGACGGTTTCGTGATGAGTTTCAGGGCGGGGGAAATGTTGTGAACACCTTTACAAGTTACGAAAAACCAAACGTTTTAAAAACTTTCAATTGAAAAGAAAAACTTCAAATGAATGACATCTTAATGCGGAAGTAGTATTGAATATATGGAATATAAGAACTCGTTTCCCTGATCATGTCACGTTCCAGCAGCGTATAAACTCGATCCTAACCCAAGTCGAAGTCCGGCTCTAGTTAGTCTATGATGCCATTCGAAGCAATTTGCTCGTCGCTCCTCGTAGGCGTTTATGACAATAGATTTACGAGCATAGCTCGTCTAATTTACGCCATTCCCATTGTAAAGAAGCGACCATCCATCCAGCTCATACAGTAGTTAAAAAGATGAGAAAAACCTTAGACGGCGACAACGATGAAGGAAAGTCACTGGCGTCTCGCGGCGAACAGCATTGAATGAAATGCCCCGGAAAAAACCAATTGTTATTCCACGTTTAATTTAGTAGAGCAATGGAAGCCTCCTCCCACCACCAACCGCCCACCTTGTAAATCCGATTTCACGGTTTGCGGGAACGGACAGCCAGCAGCTGACTGGGCTGCATCGTTGTGGGCGGGCAGATCTTGGATACATCCTAAACCATCTCATCGCATTTTATCCCATCTCATAGACACAGATACACATACAGCTAAAGCTGCAGATACAGAGACACCGCTTGGCTTTGAGTTTCAGTTGGGTAATGCGAAACGCCGGAGACCGCCCGTCCGAAAATGGAGCAATAAATTCTAATCAAAATTAAAATATACATAATAATAAAGTAAGCAAAGCAGCCAGGCCATCAGTACAGCACAAGCATTTTCTATGGCCCATTCAGCGCGTGTGTGCACTTGTCATTGCCTGGAAACTAAGTCAGACAAAAGGGGCTGTCGTGGGTTAAGGGGTCCAATATGTTGGCCAAATGAGTTCGCGCAGCGGGGATTGCTGAGTGATTTTTCCCGTTCTCATGGCGAGTACATATACATATAGATATAGGTATCCACTTTATTTGGGGGTGCTCTCCAAGGCCCTAAAACCGCGAACAAGTTGCCACTTCATCTCCATAAAAGCGAGCTGATAGTAGAGATCTTGTGAAATACATGTATTTTAATCAGCTTCGTGGCTGGAAAAGGAGGTGTAATAATAGTTCAAGATTCTCAAATATAAGAATCTATAGTTTTGTTTTTCTATGCATTAATCCATTAATTATCAGGGGTCAGGGGTAAGACTAGTATTCGTGGTTAGTACTAGTACTCCACTTACTCGTGGAGTAAAAGACTACTGGTTTTGGTGGCAAAAATCCTTTAATGATTGCAATACCCCTTTGGGGATGTTCATCACTCGCTAATACCTGCTAGTACATATGCTTCCTATATCTTTAACACCCACAAATCAATAGAAAACCCATCTGCTCCAGAGTTACAGAGTGGGCAAGGTGGGTGCATCGGGCTGACACGCGCCACCGCTCAATGAACCGCTTGGCACTAAATCAGCCTCAATTGAGAGTGTGCTGGCTAACCTACTTGAGCGGCAGCAGTCAAAGCCAGCGATTTGTGGCACGTTGGCACGTCTAATTGGAAGACAGTGGAATAGGTAAAAGGGATCTGAACAGCAAATTCCAGAAGGTAATG